TCTAAATCATAATGTCCAGGTCTGTTTCAAATAGTCAAAGAGCAGATGGAAATGCTTGGCCATATTCAAAACTTGTGATGGAAAATAAGTGCTTCTTAGCCTTTTCTTTTCAATACTGAAGCCACTTTTAATGCATGACTCCAATTCCTTACATTGACACAGAGAAAAGACACATACCTATTTTTAACAGGTTTTTAAATGTCATCATGCGTCCCTTCACAAAAAAGATGAGGGTCTCGTCCATCCATAAACTCAAACGTATCATTTTCCCCTTTGGACTTAAGAAAACACATTGTATCCATCTGTTATTTCCTGTTCAACCACAATGTTACAGACCTGTTAATGTATTCTTTATATATATATATAATATTTATATATATATACATACAGTCTGAAGGTACACTGCTTGATGAAATAAAGAATGGCTTCTTGTCAATTGCTGAATGTATGTACAGTAGCAGGTTTGCCAAGGAGTATGGAAACATTACTCAAAACCTTGAGGTTGGGACAGTTTGTCTGTTACTCATAACAAGAATATATCCTTTGTATGTGCATATAATATTACAATGTGTTTTACTGTGTATGAACAAAAGTATGTAGGCCCACCTTCAAATCCAGAAAAATCTAAAAGCTACAGCAGTCAATAACATTTTAGTGTGTTTTCTCTATGGCAACAGTTCAAAAATCAAGGTCTATAAAGAAATGTTTTCCAAGTTTGTATTGGAAGAATTTGACTGGCCCACACAGAGCCTGACCTGTCCAACATTTTTGGGATGAAAAATAATACAGCCTTCACACAGCAAATCATGGTTTAAGACACATCGGAAAATAATACAATTCCTCTAAAATGACCTCTTCCTTGAAAAACAATGGCCTCCCCTTGGGAACTATGTGACACTTAGCTAAGTTTGGACCATTTATGTCAAAACAACAATGATTCCATTATACTGAGGTCAGTATTCATCAGAGACCATGTCAATACAAACACAGTTAATAATCCTGCTTACAACTCAAAACATTCAAAGTCACATATGACTTACATTTTCCACCACCAGCCTTCTAATCTTGCTGTACAAGCTTTTGTGATGTGTATATTATGGTCTGCAACAGGCCTCCCTCCAGAGACAGAAGGAGAGACAGTGCAGCTGCCTGAGGTCACAGTCGGCCTCCAGCAGCAGGCGCTGACCCCGGTGAGACTGAAGGCCTGGGCTCCATGGGAACAGCTGAGGAACATGCAGCAGCAGCACTCAGAAACACAGCAGACAACCCTGCTGCAATGCATTAGTGTCTATGGACATTATATAATACCCACTGGGGCTTCATCAATAGCTGGACTGGTGATTTATATGGCAGTGTATACTCACTCAGGTCCCACAGAGGAGGCATTTCGCTCTAACGCCGATGCTCACTTTGTCACTCTCAAACTCTGGGAATCACAACTACAAGGCTGGTAAATAAAGATAATAAGATAAGATAATAAAAATGTGGTGAAGGTTCAAATAAATAAAAATGTTCACATCGTGGATGGATTACTGAACACTGGGCTTTACTGGGCACAGGTGCCTAAAATGTCAAGTCCTTCCCTGTCGGAAAACAAAATGTCACTCAAAGTAACAACTAGAAAGAGACTCAAACATGACCACAAAGAGACATAGAATGACTACAGAGACACAATGAGAGGCAAAAATGCTGCGAAAAATAATAGAATCACAAAACAACGACAACAATTGACTACATAGCGACACAAAACAACTACACATTAACCGAAAATCCACCTATGCTTCACCTTCTGATCAAACACCAGTCTTAAAAATGTCTAAAGATGTGACATGTTTTGAGTTACTGAAAGCAGCAAAACTGGACAGGAATATCTAATAGGGATATGAAGAAATAAACTGGCTAAATATTCTCTGGCCTTATTGACAGATGAAGGAAAGGTACGTCATGCCTTTCAATTGATTGAGGATACGCACATCCTTAGAAATGTTGCCAAAACAAACAATAAAAATCGGACCCATTACATCCCACATATTCAGTGTTTACTTCCGACACTTCTCACTGTGCGAAAACAGTGAGCGTCCCGATTACACAACTCTGAAATCAGAATCAATGAAAGCAGCATTGTGAAATTCCTCTTCAGGTGACATTTAACACTGCCAGTGACGGAAAAATGGCTACATTTAAACGTTTTAAAACATCCCTTTCCTTCCTTTACCACAGTCTTTCACTGGGAGTCATTCACACCGATGTGTGAAGGACATAGGGCTTTACATGACTTTCCTTAATAGAAAGAAGTCTCCAAGGGATTCACAGTTTCCTCTTTGCTTTTCTGATAATCAGTAGCAAGAGATTTCCACATTGAAAGTAGATTAGCATATGTATTCAGACAGAGGATCTGTGTAAATGTCTGTCTGTCTGAAAGTGGATAGTGGGACACTTCGGCCTGACAGTTCTGGGCCACAGCCTGCAGTTTAAGCCCCATTTCCCCTCAGCCTGGAGTTTGGGAAGGTGATGTTTATCATAACAAAGCAGATGACCATTTATTTATGCAATTTGAAAGTCACTGAGTTCTGCATTACTGCTTCTCCTTGGACCCTGTCAATCGTTCTGTCTTTCTTAACTGTTCACTGCTACCACTATTTTTCAGTTTAATACAACTATATTTACAAAATACACATTATCTGCGCACAAAATCAGAACCATTACAGAATGTAAATACATGTCTAAGGCCAGACAGATAAATGGAGCTTCATCCACCTTATATCTACCGAATCTCTGAGAGAAACGCAGCTGGATGTGGGGCTCTCGGCACTACAGTGTCACAGCGATTCATTAAGTCTATGATTAATGTCAGTTTAGGGTTTTGAGGATGAACATAGCTGCCTTGTCTCACCAAAGGAAACCATTAATTTCCACACTGCAATTAAAGAGACAGTAGGGAATAGATTTCCATGCAAATTACACTGTGTGAGAGGGAATACGGCACTTGGCCCAACATCTACTCAAGACTTGGAAAATGCTCTATAAACTTTAAGTAAGCCATTAGAAAAATAAACATGAGAGAAGAAGGATTAGGGTTTATTTCTTACCACATAGACTAAATCTTCTCTGAGTGTGTCCATATGCGGTTTTAGGATAAAGCTCTGGGTTTTGTTTTTATGCCTCGGGAAAAACAAAACAACAAGTCAAGTGGGGTAAAAGGTCTAGTGTTTTTTCCATAAATTCCTTGCGTGATCTTAAATAAATAAATAAAAACTATAAGGAAGAGTTTTGAAATCCCTCCGCATTTCCATGGTTCTTTAAAACTAACTATTGTTAACCATAATGTTTAAATAAAGGTGTGTTTATGCAACACACTGAATGTGTAGAGCAAGTGCATATGAGAGAAATAAAAAGTCTGCTCTGCACATTTATAGCTCAGAATACCAACGTTTTTTTCACTGCTGCTATGCTATTTTGGATCAGGACCAAAATAATGTGCTTTCCTCTCCTGGACAATGTAATGAGGTGGACAGTGTTATGGACGATACTGAGAACCATCTGGCCACCATGTATCAGTGTCATAAAAACAGGTCTCCTCAGCCCAGCTGTGAAAAATGCAAACAGGGAATATCACACCTAATGTGTATGACACCCAGTCAGCTTGGTCCTTCTTGACAACATTCATAAGTCTCCCATTTATTTTATTACTACATTCAAGTTAAATCCATATGTTGATTTCATTAACTTTACAACTAAAGACATTTGACAATCTGGTCTGGTTTATTTTGACAATGAGATCTACCTCAAAGAGAAAGCACGTGACTTGGTACGCAGCTTGTTACGAAATATGGTGAAAAAATGTTTTTAATGATAAATGTATTTGTAGAGAACCTCGGAGCCCTGTTGACAAACTTGTTGATGTAATACACGGTGGTCTCACACTCAGGTTTCCAAAGAATTACAGCTAGGAGCGACCAGCGATCAGTCACAGTGCGTATCACACATACACACCAAACAGACCACACATTAGTTAACTGCCGCATATAAAAGATACATGGAATTTTTCGAGAACATAATGTCCACTTGTGCGTTACCATCATGCACAACAGAGGTTATGTGAGAGTGCAACCTGAGCCTCAAGTGGCATCTACCCAAATCCCGCAGCTGCCCCCCATGGGCCACATCACACAGGGCAAATATTTCCCCTCGGCAAAACAGAAACAATGATCTGGCACTCTGCCTAATTTTAACTACATCCCGCCAAGTGACCAATATATAGAAGGCATTTCAAATAACATTCTGGAGACACCGGCTGGGAGGCAGCTCGCAGACACCTGTGGCTGTCAGTCCTGTTCACAGAGTCTGAGGCGGGAGCAGGGCCATGCAACATGCACAGAGCAGGATCAACTCACAGGGAGCATTTCATGATGTGCCAGACAGCAGCGCAGCACTGTTTCAACCTCAGTACAGAGATGTATTCAGACAGAGACTGTAGAGTTTACCCTAAATAATCAAGCCTCAATACTGATTAAACTCTCAGACTCTAGAAGCCCATAAAGGCGAGCAAGAAAAAAAAAATGGTTCAATCCATTTTCCAAGCCTCATCTAAATTGATTTCTCTCTTCTTTTAAAATCCAAAGCTAAAAAGGGTATAGCATTTTAGAAACATATTTTTGCTCAAATACTTATACATTCTGACAGTAATTAATAAATGAAATGCACTGACAAAAAACATCTGGCATGTGTATCTGTAATGGCTGTATTGTCCAATCAATTCATTTGGCAATGAAAATAAGAGTTAGCAACATTGGGCAGTTTCTCTTTTCAGTTGGATTATTTAAAAAAATCTAGTTTATTCTAACTTTTTTTCTTTCATTTAAGGATCAGCACCTTATCTGAATTACGGACAAGAGATCAAAACTGGCTCATGCTTACGGAAAGATATACAATTGTTTTCCGATAGAAACATTCAGGCACATTGCATCAAAAGCTATAAAAAAAGACAAATCACTTCTTACCTGCCCCTGCTGCATTGGTCATCTTATTGAACATCTGCAACACAAAAGAAATGCAAAACTATCAGTATCTGTAATATTGAGAAGGGGCTACTGATTGGCTACTTGAACATAGCTCCACTCTGAAAGATGAAAAAAGCAGGTCACATTATTCGGCTTTAACAACCATAAGAGGCACACACAGAGGATGTCTCCCTATCTTCAATAGGGCAATTGCTGATACAATGACAAAGTCAATACAGGCAATCCACAGAAGAAAAGGTGCATGCTTTAGCACAGAGGCTGATGTGCTGCCTCCTACCCCCAATTATCAGTCTGAAAATGTGAAAAGAAAAGCAACACAGGGATATTTAAATGCTAAGCTAGATATTAAAGACATTTTCATTGAGGGACAAATTGTAATACTGTTACATTGTTCATATTGAAGGTGGTGTTGTAAGGAAATATATGATACATATAAAAACTAACTGCAAACTGAGTAAAATAAAATAGGATTCTTACATAAAACAGTGATGTCCTGGAATTAAATGGTTCATTTTACTCCTGATCTTGCTTACCTCTCCTTCATTTCCCCTCTGTGCCCCACTGGTCTGATTTACGCTCTTGTTTGCTTTCCCCTCTTCCACATGTCTCCCCTAGCAGAGACTAAACGCTGCGAAACTCCCAGACAGCCTGTTTGCAATACCATTGACCCTCCGTCATGACAGTGAATTGGCAGTTAGCCCACATGGTGCTGATTCAAACTTCTATCAACATATCTGCAAAGGTTTTACTGGTCAGTTGGACTCCACACAATAAGTAGGTCGTGTACTGCATGTTTCATGAGGACCGCGGCCCCCCAGTGTTGTCATGGCAGCAGAAATGCTCACAGTTTTAAAGAAGCACTTGGCTGGTTGAGCAACATTGCTGCCACTTTGCTGTGGCAACAAAAAGACCTGATTGGCAGGATGAAACAGGACAGGTGCTTTTGTTTGTATCCGTCTTTGTTGCAGGGTCTCTAACATTTGTTGACCTCACGGCAAAAACGGTAAGGCAAGGCAATGCAAGTTTATTTATATAGCACCTTTCAACACAAGGCAAGGTAGTAGGACAGCAGGCACCTGCAAGTCCATGTTTGATTCATTTAGATAAAGATTTAAAGCAGGGATCTCATGACCACTACATTTCTGAAAGGTTACATTAAACCACTTTGCATGTCCATGCTGCTCCAGGGTTAAGGTTATCTTCAGGCGCACAATCTCGACTGTCTCACTATGACAATACAGAGAAGCAATGAATATAGCAAAACATAAACCAAATCTTTGAACAGCCACTGATGTATCCTTCATTATTGACTGTAAGATATAGCACAGTCTGGCACAATTTGATCACATATTTAAACATTTCTGTAACAGAGTTTAAAAGCTGGGTGCAGAAACATGGAGGGTCCTCATCTCTCTGCTTTCAAACTTTACACATGTCTTTGAAGAGAAGGACATGCAATGGACCTTATAACATACTCTCAGAGGGCCGGCTTCAGACCCAGTTTCAGAAATAAATATGTGAAAATTAGTACTCCAAAAACCAGATGCCGGGCCCCAGTGGAGATGTGCCGATTTTGACAAGGCTTCAAAGACTTGAACACATCCCTCTCTCCCTTTTTTTTTCAACAGCCAGAAGAAAGAATTTCATCCTGGCATGTTTGAGTGCTGACCCATTTTAAAACACATTGTCGTACTTCAGTCCTATCGCACTCAGATGGTGGACACATGTCAAAGGTTGCAGGTCAGGAAAATTGACATCCTCCATGCAAAAGTGCAAGAGAGGGAAAACCCTGCATCGCTATCACCAACAACTATGTTTACATGGAGTGACAGGCATGTGAATGATAGCTGCCGTCCCAGCACAAATGACACCCTGCCTGAAAGTCAACAGGGCAGTAACAGGACCGGTCAGTCCCAATGACTCTCTGCCGATCTCTGTCAACACAAATTTAAAGTGGGAACCCTCAACCCAAATATTTCTCTTCCCACCGATACAACAACACAAAGAACCACTCTCGACATAAACACAACAAAAATAAAATACATTGAAGGCTGCTGCTAACTGTTTTCTTCCCTATATCGCATTATTATTTTATGAATGAAGTGACTAATAGCTTAGTCTATAACATGTTAGAAGAAACAATAAAACATACATTTTTTCATGAGCCCAATAATATGTTTTCCCACTGCCCGTCTTGTCTGACCAACACTCCAAAACTCATAGATATGTATTTAAAATCATATTAAACAAAACAAATCCCCCTCCTTATAATTGAGAAGCTGTAAGTTGTAAATGTTAGGCATCATTGCTTGACAAATGAAAAAATGTCTAGTGTTGACAATTCAAATGTATAAGTAAAAAAGAGCTTAAAAATGAAGGATTTGAGAAAGCTTTGAGAAAAACAAACACACTAGGGAACATATCTGATACAAAAAGGCTTTTATAGCATCAAATAACTTTGTCTGAGCTATTATTGAAAATACCAAGTCTCATTCACTTAATCAGATCGGCAGAGAGATCAGGTTCAGACGACATACAACTACAAACTTGAACATTTCTTATTTTGTATTTTACTGTTGGATCTTGGGGGGGGGGGGGGGGGGTCAGAGGTTGTCAGGCAGGTGCTGATAACCTATTCCAGATACTTCCATAAAACATCGCTCCATAAATCCATAACTGGGTGTCCGGGCTCTGGCCTGTTTATTCTTAGACTCCAGGACTGTGATTCAATCTGTATCGCATTCTCGTTCCCTGCGGTCAGAACTTTTTATACGGACTGCAGCGCTCTTATGTAAGAGTCTTATGGGACAGAGGGGGAAGATTCTCTCTTCATGTGCAAAGCTTCTGATATAACATCTCATCTGTTTGCAAACTTTACAGGGTCAATCTTAAACCAGTGGACAAACTTAAATGAAAAGTTTGACATTTTGTTACGTATATTTGCATGCTGATTGAATGTTGCTGGTTTGGTTTTGTTTCAGCTAGGCTAGCTGTTTCCCCCTCTTTCAAGTCTTTATGCTAAGCTAAGCCAACCAGCCGTTAGCCTCGTATTTATCTACAGATATAAGAAGGGTATTACTCTTCTCTAACTAGCTATAACTATTTGACAGAAAGCCAAAACGCATATTCCTCAAATGTCTTAACTTCAGTTTTTCTTAAGCTGATAAAATCACGTTTTTCTTAATGTTCAGCCTTAAGAACACCAATTGTATCATTGGAAACATTTCTTTTTTTAAGTTATTCATATATCATCATCAGATCATGCCACTGAATAACGTGTGATCTAATTGTACTCAAGGTTACACTGCAGCCAGAATACTCTTGTCTCTAAATGATGTGAACATTCCCAGCTGTCCCCGAGTCACATTTGAACCTTAGCTGCTGTCATTTTCAAGAGATAGTTATGGGTTCCATAAAAAAAAGACAGGTGGCAACACATCTGAGAACTAAACACCATTTAATTTGAAGTACTCGGTGCTCACAGACAAAATAATCTTCTTTGACTTTCAAAGCTCAGCTCTGTCTCACCCTATAGCCTTCAGTTTGATCTTACCTATTGCAGTCTTCAAAGCATTATGGATTTAGTATAACAAAAACAAAACCTTATGTGACCAAAATCCTATTGAAGTGAGATTGGAAAGTGTAGCAGATTGGGGCTGAATCACTACAGTTACTGTATAAGCAGCTTGTTCGCCAACACATTGCCGCAGAGAGCCATTACGAAAGCATAAAGCACAAGCTGAAAGGCTCTGAATTTAAACCCGCCCTGCATTCTGCAAATCTCTCAGTTGTCTGTTTCTCTTAGGGCAGCTGAATAGGGACATTTTTATACTTTGTCCGGCACAAGTGAGTCCTGCTTGTTGAAGAATGGCTTAGCTGACCTTATGCCCAATGCAAACCTCAAATATTTACAGATGTAGAGGAAAGAGCATCTGCACAAAAGAACCTGCCAGAAATTCTCCTGACGGGTGGTGGACTTATCTTTTCAACGCTATCCACTTAAGCAATTCTGTGATTGTTGTCTTCCTCTGTCAACACAGGGATCAAGATATAGACGTCTGATATGTGATTGTGAAATGTAGGAGGGTGATTTCATTCATAAGGGAAATTAATAATAAAGTGTAGATAAGTATTTTCTAAATGGAGAAATTATTCTTCTGTCATTGATGCAGTCATTTCGTTTTTTAACCTCAGTTTAAAAAAAAAAAAAACTCATAACAATACAGGTTTATACCTACACTAAACATAAACTAAAACTGTTGATCAAAACAGGTCAAACTGAGTTTCATTTGATTATTTTCAGAAAAAGTAATCTAGGAGTAAACATTTTAGATTGTGTCCTTCCTAAATTAGCACTAAGTGAACATTTTCCATCGACGGACATACAAGAACTTTGAAATGGCTGGGGTAAAAACTTTGTGCTTCGCAGGAAGTCAACAGGTCATAGCAGTCACCCAAAAAACGCTAAAGCCAGATTTGAGTATAAGAAAGGAAAAAGAAAACATGTGCAACCAGTTTTGAAGTTAGACACAAAGGAATTTAAGGTTCACATCCTTAAAGACGATAACCGGACAACAGAACTGCTTGTATAAACTTGGCATGTTCTGTCCTACAGACTACCTGCACTGTACGATTTATTTTTGACACTTGCAGGAAGCTGCTTTACTCAGAGGAACTTACCGTCTTCTTGGTGGACGCTCTTGTTGCTATCAAGGCGCTGCGAGGAGCAGAAGACCTGCAGTCGCTCAGACATTCCCCTCTGTCTGGTCTTTGCAGAAGTTGGTCGTTCAAGGCTTGGTTTAACGTGGACTTTGAGACAGCACCCCACTGCAACAACATCACAACAACAATCAGGACAGGGTCCGTCTCTGTCCCGCCGAACGGACCGGGACAGGATGGTCTCAACGGTGGCCAGGGGAAAAGAAAACAAGAGGCTGAGGTCAACTGCTGGGGAAGTGAAATCTCCACTCTCAATTCAGCTCTGCAGCGGCACACAAAGGAGCCTGTATGTGCGGATCTTCTTTTGAGAGGACAGAGATTATGACCTTGTCAAATATCCCAGTAAAGATGTCTTGTCTCGCCCAGTCGCCTGTCATTAGTTAAAGCAAGTAATGGTGAATGCCTGGGATGGTTATGCCGATGCCTGGGAGGCATGTGAGCCTCTCTCAACCATTCCTAATGGACCAAATCATACAAACTCCCTTCAATACAATAGCTCCTCTGTGCGGTACATACATATGGACCCCAAAAGACCACTTTTGTTCCCAAATGCTAACTCTAGTGAGATATTTCATGAAACATGCCACCATGAGAAGAGCCCCTTTTAGAAACAGAGTTGCGCGGTCCCAGTCGCAACCTCAAAAGCACAATAGCTGTCTGTTCCTGCCGCACCATTCTGACCCGGCTAAAGCACTGTACGCTCCAGTATCACATCTAAAGACCTACATCATAAAACAGACTCAAGTCAGAAGGTCCCTATGAGATGGTCTTCACAAAGCCCATAGTGTTGCAGAGAGACTGTATCTCACAAGTCACAGACACAGTAACGACTCACTAGAGATCTACACACTGACTCCCCTTTCACACACTGGGTTTATGGCTCGCCGCTGGTTGATTTGACAAAATCTACACCTAATGTGGAACACTTTAAAAAACTCAGCAGGACATCAATTCTGATGAACACCTGTTGCTTACAGGTCCGAATAATGCATCAGGATTTTCTCACCACAGAGCAAAGAGAATTGATTTAGCGAAGTTTACAAGCATGACCAAGTATGCAGCATACGCTTCACAGGAATGTGTACAGTACCAACCGTGACAGTGGACATACCATAAGGTACTGCAGTGAAATCCACATGCTCTTTTACATCGCTGCCTACATACTGTTCATTCTGAGTTTATATAAGTATAAGGGACACAATTCTTGTCATACCCTTGGAAGGTATTGTGATGCCTGGGTGTGAACACACTCTCACCTGTTTCTTGCGGGTGGTGCAGGGTGTGTCGGAGGGGGAGGAGTTTGCACTCAGAGCCTCCTCTATGTCTCGATTAAGCTGGTCCAGTTTCCTCATCAGCTGGCTCATTGACTCCGACCAGGGAGACTTGACCTGCGCAGACTCCTGTGGGATATCAGAGAGCCATGTTTGAGTGAAGACAAGCTACTGCCGCAATTAGACTACTAAGTCAAATATTGAGCCAAAAGCATCAGAAGCACTACCATCATTATTTATACCTTATTTGTTTTCAAAATGTGTGTATTCAAAACCCAATTACTTAGTCTAGTTTAATATTGTTTTGTTTCCGGTTATTCCACATTGGCGCATTTAAAACATAGATTTAACTACATTTTTAAGACTTTTCCCCCTTGCCTAAATGTATCTAATTCTATCTGATCAGATATTAACACCATTTCTATTAACATTTTTCGATTTCTCTCCCTTATGTCAGGATTTTTGCGTCACAGAAGGTTCCATTTAGAGGATTAATTAAAATTAAAATGATTACCTCATTTAATACAAATGTTTTAAGTAGCCAGGCTAAACACTCACCACTTTCAGGCATTCATTTGAGATGAATATCAAGTTGAGTCACTGACACTTCATCAAACTTGCTTGGTATCTTAATGATATGCTTCAGCTAAACTTAATCAAAATCAGGAATTAATTTCTCCATCTTACTTTTAGACTCGCAGTAAAAGTAATTGAATTCAGTTGGAAAATCGGGTTCATTAGTTAGTCCAGTAATTACCTGTCACCATTGCCAGACTTATTTAACACATGAGAGCTTCCCAGTAAGGTGAGAGCATGTGTTGATTTAACACACTGCCCTAAACTCAAGAAGAGTTACAGGCAAAGTCAAAAAAGTATCTTGTAAATTGCAGTGAGCTTCACTGCTGCCACACATGGAAATGTGATCTCCTCTGCCGTGTCTCAGGGTGAAAGTGCAAAAGAGGAGGGCTGCAGACATGTGTGCCATACAGAGCATGATGGAATTCCCTGCACGGGCTTTCACTGCTCCCCAGACACACTGTGTGTATAAATAGACCGTCCTCACACAGACAGGAGCAGTGTCTGAGGATCGGGAGGTCTAGCCTCATAAATCAGCAGGAAACACCTCGGTCACCAAAGCATAAATTAACATTGTTAGACCTGGAGAGGGTCACCGGCTGCATGCTCTTCGACAGCATCAGCGTGGAAACTTTTCAAGAATATCAATTAAATTACAGAAACGTTTTAAAGGGTGGGTTTTCAGCAGAATGTCTCTTGTGGATCATTTCAAAGTTTTTGACACAGTAGCATCAAGTATTTTTTAGGAAACCCCTCCTTGAATGTGGTTGCTGCAATAAGTCTGGTGGGATGGATGCCAGTAATGAGGATCAACTGAGAAATGTGGCCAATAGTTTGCTTTACTTTGAGCTCCCCAGTTTAGCATTGAATTGCAGTCTATCAGCATATAATACATGGTTATATATAATCAATCAATGAAGACATCATTTTTAGATAATATTATATTATATTTTTTTGTATTAGAGCTGTATTCTACTTTATTGTGTTTCATTAGCTGTTTATACACCAGCCAGCAGCACTGGAGCTCACTTGTATATCTGTTTACAATGACATTTCAGGGTCTTATAAACCAGTTGTAAAATGTTTACAGTATATACTCCATATCAATTCTAAAAAGAGAAACTGAAGGATACTCAATGTGAACTAAAGGAGATGTGTTTAGATTATCAGGGTTATAAACTAGTAGATAGAATCAGTATCTTTGTCCCCAAACTACATGTTGTGTTAAAAGCCAAAATCTAAAATATGACAGTCCTCAACAAAAGGAATCCAGCAGAGTAAATGATTCAACATGCTGGGAAAATCCCAAATATCACTTGAATTATTTTGGTTGAAAACAAGTGTGAGATTACAGCATGTGATAACCCCAACTCCAGACGTACACAATCAATGTTCCTTTAATGTGGATGGCCCTTTACACGGCCAGTTCAAATTCCTTTCCTGGAATTCAAACCAAATACTGTGACGAATTACTACCGGCTATGTCTAAATCAAGTCATTATTCCATTTATAACATCAAGCCCCGCAATGCACAATCATTTCATTGAAGGGGCTTGTCAATAAATGTTCTGATGGGAAGCCACAATGTCCTGTCCTTGGTTCCTATCTGAAGGGCTTTGATAGACTTTTAAAAACAAGTATGACACTTGTTTTCACATTCCTCTTGGATTAACTGGGAGCTAAATAAAAGCTGGAGAAAGTTCAGTCCAAATGACGAAAGGCCAACCTTATCACATTTTGGATATTTGTTAAAATACTATTCACTAAGAAATTGATAGTTTGGCTACTCACATTTTGTTAATGTCATGATTTAACATATGTCAGTTATATTCCTTTCTACTGTTGTCAGAATGAATATCATTCATCATGAAGCAATACATCTGAATTGGAATGACAAAAGTAGACATTGATAAAAAACTATTATATGTGGTATTACACCTACATTGTGAGGAATTAAGGGACCAGACGGTCCATTCCTCTGCTGCCCACCCAGAGTCAGCTGACTGACCCGGCACTGGGAGAAAGTCTTTTTTCCCACTCAGGAATGACCTAAATCTGGCCAATCCCCTGTTGACCTCTAAGACCTGAAGGGTCACCTGGGGTCACTGAAAGGAAAAAGTAAAGCCTCTCTTCTCTGCTATGCCTGCAATGCACCGTGCTGACCAGGGAATATAAGAACGGTTTGACATGGGATCAGTATGTTTAGACAGCTCAATCCTCTGTCGGCTCAACAAATAAAAGCCCTTCACACACTTTTTCAAAAGACTGACCAGTTACTAAATTGGGTATATCGACCAAACAGTTACCCCTGTGATAGGAGAGACAAGAACAATGTAGATTAACCCTTACTAAAGTGTTCCTCTCTATGTGAGCCTTAGACTTCTTCCAAGAAATAAACACCGATTCCCGGAAAATCCTCCCTCACACTTTATAGTTTCTGTTTCCATATTTCTAAGATATTCTTCAGCGAGCATCTGAGTGTCATCACAGATTAAACACCAGGCTTCTCTTATTCTATTTATGGAATCAGAGACATACAAATTGTCAGCAGAGGGGACATTTGTGAGATTTTAAGACTTCCTTCTATTTGGTAATTACATTTGGTTATGTGAATAAAAAAAAACTAAGAGTACTGTTTGGAAATGAAAATGTGTGTTAACTTGGAAAAACAACTGTGTGTCAAGTGTGACAAAATTATGGTTATATGGTTAGTTATAACAAATTGATCAGGAACAGTTAACATCCATGGCTGTACTCTGTGGATAGAGTGCTGGACTTCGAATCAGGGGGTAGCAAGTTTGAGTCCCACTGCAGTCAGCATGTCGTTGTGTCCCTGGGCAAGACACTTCACCCCAAATTGCTCCTGTGGGGATTGTCCACAGTACTGAATGTATGTAAGTCGCTTTGGATAAAAGCATCTAGCAAATTATCCTTCCTCTTAATTATCCTAAGATCAGTGTAACCCAGACTTTTTCTTAATACCTAAGCAGCAAAATTAAAATGAATGAGAAGCATGTGCAAATAACACTGAGTTCTGAACAAATCCTTATGTGCACACCTCAGTGGGTGCACATTCCTCCAAATAAGAGCAAGACAGAGGCGGACCAAACTGTTCCAAGTGAGTCTATGGACATAATGTTGTATCTTGAAGATCTCAAATCAAGCTTTACTGATGATAAGAACCATGAAATTGACCTTTATCAGAAAGTATCATTGTGCCTAAAACATGTCTTGAACTCTTTAGACGAAGAGCTAAAAGCTGATATATACGATGTGAAGGCAATTCTTGATATTCTGGGCTAAAAGACGGAACACATTGTGTACAGGGAAAGGATATGAAAGAAGCTGAATCTGTTGCGAGCTGGACTTAACCCCTTGAGTCAGACAAACACAAATGCAAGAAACAGATGCCCCATTCTGGCTCAAGGCAGATGAGGGACACATTCATACTGTCTCTTTTCAGTGACATCCCCGCAAGGTGCTGTTCAGGAATGTGGGCTCTTCTACTTAGAATGAGACAAATTCCAGAGAGGGCTTGACGCTCAAGTGAGACACTACCCTTGATTCATCTCTTGGTGCATTTCCCCTCGATCCGGCCCCGGCAATTGTGTAAAGTCCTCACACCATGGCAACTGAGCTGGTATGAGTCATCCTTTATAAATGTATTAATGTTATCTTCTGGGGACAACAACTTGTGAGCTGACTATAACTTTATCAGCACAAATTGGCCACATTGTGGAGCCCAACACAGCGTCTTTGACATGGAAATGAGGAGTTAAGTGTGTGAGCTCTGGGCTCGGTGCCTAGTCTGCACCACCCACAGAGAGTGCCAGAGATCACCATGGAGGTCTCCTCATGAAGCAGCCGGTCATGCGAAAGGGCAATGGCTACCTGGCTGCTTGGAGGAATAATTTAGACACTTCATATCCTGCGATGGAAAACACAAACTGAACATAGCCACCATGTCTGTAGAGTGGGAAGGATAGGTAAATAATTGTGTATTTTTAGGGGCATTTAGTCACAGCTGAGCTAAATGATGCAAGCAGGGGGGAGTCATGAGATGAACCTCAGAGCAAACTCTATGCTTACAGTGCCCTCATATGGTTATTGTTAACAACTGCAACTGTGAGCTATTCAACTGACTTCCCTCCACAAGTCCCATCAGACTTTTCGTATTAAGAATAAAAAGATATGCATGCATAAATGATAAATGTTGGTCTTTATGCTGTCAATATTTTGTCTTTTTTTATACATTACATTACATTACATTGCATTTAGCTGACGCTTTTGTCCAAAGCGACTTACAATAAGTACATTCGACCAAGAAGACACAACCTTGAAGAAATATAAAATACAAAATGTATTAACAAACTGTTGTTAGAAGACTTGCATTCAAGATTAAGTTTTGAATGTTGCTGTCAGTTAGCTTTTTTCTGATTTTTTTTAATCCTAATAAAGTATTTTTTGTGGGTATCTGATCAGATTATCTATCTTGCATCTATGTGAGTGTGTCAATATGTGGTTGACAAAAATAGCTTGTTTCACTGCCATGTCAAATTATTATTTGCGTTCTGCCTTTTGAATGAAAGTGAAGCCCTTCCTATAGATATGCCCACATCTCCGCCCACCGTATGATAACAGAGCATGTGGAGTGACAGCATGAGAGGACTTGACCTGCCCTCCTTGGATGATATAAACAACAGGCTCCCTGGATTCCCTGCATTCTTCCACTCTTCTCCAAAACAACTCATTCAGAGCAGAGTGTCATTCTACATAAAGCTGGCATTACCTCAACATCTTTTCGACCAAAAGACAGAGAAGCTAATCTCGCCTTTCCATTCACTCTGCCCCGTTTACTTGTATACTAGAATGACAGTGATGTGTCATTGAATATGTTCCATCGAAAACATATCCAAAGGCTTTAAACATATATATGAATGCTTACACAAGGCTTGAAAAGGCAATAAAAAGCAGCGATGAAGGGTTACAGGATGGTTATAACCAAGGTCAGGGAAAAAGGGTCTGAAATGTGCCTTGACTTGTTGAAGATAAAAAGAGGTGCTCAGTAATGGAAGGCTACGTTCAGTGCTAATATGTCCTGCTTTGGGCTCTGTCAAAACACCGCTGCCTGTGAAGGGAGTGGAGAGAACGCAGAAGCTGTTTGCATTCCTTCTAGGTCTGCGTTTCACCAGCACCAATGTGAAGTCAGTGAACTCCTACACACTGATACCAACAATGCATTATCTCACAGTGTAATGATGTCAGCTGCTAGGAGCTGGGAATATGGGCTCTCACACTTCCTTGAACGGACAAAAAATAAAGCTAAATAATGCCGCTACAAGATAGCTGTCTATTGCTATACTGTACAAATGCTTTTAAGTGTCTTTGACTCATATATTTTACTGTAATTTAAATTAGTGTTGGGCAACTTATGCTTCAGTCATATTTTCATTATCCTAAGTGTTCTTGTTTTTTTAGCTTTTAAGGTTATTTTTATAGTTCACTTTAAATGTGGTGTAAATACTTGTTTTTAGTATCCTTTTTTAATACTACATTGTTTCTTAAACATACTTATTTTGTATTATCCTTACATATTTCTTTTTTTACCTACTTTTTTTCTTAGATTGATTATGTTTGCGCCACCAGATCCCAAAGCAAATTCCTTGTATGTGTAAACGCACCTGGCAATAAACTTGATTCGGATCCTGATTATTATCACAGTTTTGTATATTTTGATTTTGATTCTCTAAAATGTTTTTATTAAGTTTTCCTTAAAACAATATTGACAAAGTTGTAATATGTCTGTACAATGAAACTGAAATAAAATGTAAACAATAAAAGACTAATGGGCATTTATTTAGCATTAATTGCATATGTACATTAGAAATGTGCAAAAATGTGTTGTTTTTCTGACACGTTTCATTGTTTAGAGTTAGTTCAGTTATTTTTGTTACATTATTAATGTGAACTAATTTAGAAAATTGACATATGTGACAAAGGTTTTTCATGTGCATATTTGTAATACAGACCGATGTCCATGTCAATATTTTGTACGAGTTGTTTAAAGATATATAATAACAAAATGCAAGGGCAACAGTGTAGGATTTTAAATCAATACCAGCATACCTCCATACAGCACGTTTCCCCCTCTGCTTCATAACCCGACTTTCTGGCCGTTTGATTGATTTCTGCTCGAGCACTTGCAGTGCTTCTCCTCTTCTGTTTGTCTTTGCTCCTTTGTCTTTGCTGGACGAGGTATTCTCTACTCTGAGGCAGATCTGAGAACACATCATCGTCATCGCCATCATCACCATCATCGCCATCATCACCATCATCACCATCATCATCATCATCATCATCATTGTGATCATCCTCTTCCAGGGAAGACTCTCCATCCTCAGAAGTCTCATTGACAAAAACATGATTGTCGGCTGCGGAGGGACAGGTGTAGTGTGAGAAGGTGATGGAGCTATGTTTGTACTTCACAATGCGTGGTGGATCCAGGAGCCTCGGGCCAGGATCAGAAAGATTCCGGGGGTCAGGGGTGGTGGAAGTGGAGTCCAGATTAATATTGGGGCAGGCGTCCTCAGGAGGAATAAATACATCGCCATTTGATATTGGCTCTAAGCTCTTAAAGTCTGTTTTTACACATCCCAACATCATGTTTAACGTCCGGCCAACATGATTCTGAACCACCTGATCCGACTTGCCTTCTGCAACAGAACCAGAAAGCAAACGGGAGTTGTCATCTAAGATTGTGGACAAAATACCTGCTTCATGCGGCTGAGATGAGTCCAGTGGACTTTGGTCCAGGGGGGCTTTAATGTGAATGACTGATTGTTCAGGCTCCTGTAAGCCCACAGCTTCCCCAAATTCAATGTTGTTATGACAGACACAAACAAAACTCTTCTTCAGCTTGTGTACGTTCTGATCCGGCTCCAACAGCAAGCTTTGGGCTTCAGGGAGACAATCGTCCCCTCTGTGGTCTACGGAGCCGTTAGCCAAGAGAGCAGAGCTTTCTGAGGTCAACTCTTTTGTTGTTGAAATGGCTGACTTTTGTTTTCCTGAAGCTGTCCAAGACTGCTGTGCCTCCAGACTCATCACAGGTGGATTCTCCATTACTGTTTTTTCCTACAGTTTTTCATAATTTAAAACATAAATCCACAGGTACTTGTGCTTGATGTATTGGATTGCCATTCTCAGCCAAGATGCTCAGTCCAACCACACAGTAGATAACCTGAAATAAACAGAAATGAAAGTATGTGAATGGAATGTGACACATCTGACAAGCACAGACAGATGTAGATTATTTCCAAGACAATATAGGCACAACAACATGGACATACATACTTCTTAGATTGTTTCCGCATGTCTCTGCGTCCTGTAATTATCAGAGTCTCCGTTCACTGCCAGAGTTTAATGTAAAGCTGCTATCTCCTGCTCTGAACACCTCTGACTAAGCGCCATTCTGCGAGAAGTTTCCTGTGAAATTTAACATCTGGCTCAGGCAGGGCTGTTCAAGTCTGGATCTGTTTCACAAACGATCGTAGTGACATCACTGCACAGAGGAATCTGATTGCTCTTCCCTAGTTGGTGATTTACTATGTACAACACCATTCATCAGGGCAGAGGATTGTCCCTGGTGGTTAACATCCCTCTCACGCCTTCATTAGGCCATTCTTTAGAACACACCTTGGACAGGTCAGAGCAACCCGAAGAGCACGCGGAAAAGCAAACAAAGCATTATTGTGCAGCTACAGATGATTATCATCTTATTTAAGCACATAGACATTCCTCAGATGACATCTTAAGACAGGAAAATACCAAATTCAAAAGTAAACATAACCTTCACATTGGTTAACCAGTGCAATCCACATGTTTTCACCTTGATGTTTAAACAGCAAAACACATGCTTGTTTAGACGGAATCACTGAGATATCTTTAGAAAACAATGTTATTTTTAGTCTATTTCCTTGAAATGCTTAACAAAAAGTTAATTAATTTATACTAATTTACACATGAGTCTCCGCTGTTACTGTGAAAAAGCTGCAGTTGGCAGTGCATTATGCAATGGCCTTGAGAGAGACACACACACACACACACACACACATACACACACACACACACACACACAGAGGGCAGAGAAGGAACATCAGACAAGAACAAAATCTAACTCTAAAGATACTTTCATAAATGTAACAAAATGTGTACTGTATACTAAATGTACATATAAATAATAATAAAAAGTACAAATGCTGTATCACCTAGTGAATGTGAAGTGAGTCTACAAGAGATTAGGGTTCCTTCTAAGAAACCCCTCTTTAAAAAAAACACTATGCAGAGAGGGTCTCATTATTCTCAAATGAATACGGAGCAGATTTAAATGGAGGGAAGAAGTCACAGAGTGAAATGAACTGAGAGTATCGACTGCCAAGCCGAGACCACAACTTATTTAGGAGAGTGAAGAAAAAAAGGAATCCAGGCTAGAAGAAATTTCAACAGAAAGGTCCCCGACAAGTCTTCTCATGCAGAAACAACCAATAGTTGAACGGAAGAACAGAAAATTAGCTAAGAGAGAAATTAGTAATTGTCATTTGTTTCTCCATGATAGGCAGATGTCAGTGAAATTCAAGCATACAGAAAACAAAAGACTCACCTGCTGAGTTGGGGGAAAATAATTCTGTGTTGCCCAAACAGTGTCACCATGAGCATGGCAAAACAGTGTCAGTGAAGCTTGTTCGTGTAAGAGCAAAGAGGGTTGGACAGCGCCTTGCAGAGCTACACTTATGTCCCCATAGGCCTATTCTGCGAGAAGGCAAGCTTGTCATCACAACTACCTCCCCCTCCTCTTGTGTTTCCCTGGGGGGCTGCAGGAGTGTTCGCTAACCATTCAGAATATGCGCAACAGAGAAGGGAGTATGTGTACTTGTCGGGAGATGGAAAGAGGAGGATAGACGGCTGGGGGGAGAGAAGAGGGAGGGAGAGGGTCGGTGGTGGGGGGGGGGGGGGAGCAGCAGTGGTTGGCACTGTAAAAGAACAAGGTGAAATGGGTTTCCAGCCCTTACGAACAGACCGTGGGGAATGGCTGTGCAGGAGCAAGATGTACCGCAGCAGTGACGTTAGCCGGAAAACACCGACCTGAGGAATGCTTTCAAGTCAAAGGGAAAAGTTGTGAAGCACCAGGATTTTCTGTAGCTCTTAGAAATATATCAAGATGATATCTCCAAAAGAGGATTTATTACTAAACTGAAACTAATAGTATGTTTTCACGACTATATAGAAAATCTGCCAGTTAGGGGTGAGACAATTTGCGATGTCCCCTTATAAATCATGAACTGGCAGGATGGTCGGTGGTATCTTCGGGCTAAAGAAACTCACGATTGATAGTTTATTGTCATACTGATATTTTGTACAAACTGTAAAGTCCACTGAGACAAATGTAACATTTGTGATATTGGGCTATATAAATAAACATTGATTGATTGATTGATTGACCTTCTGTTAAGTGTCTAAAAAATGTACTTAAACTATTAAGACATTTCAAATTGATTAAAGTCATACTAAAGTTAGAGTACACATGTGAGGGGCATGTCTGAGCATTTGCTTGTTGATTGGCTGAGGACTGGTTGTTTGTGCAGATCCTTGGCTCTCTGATAGGACTGAAGTGCCGAAGAAAGAATTTCTGAGTTCCCACTCAGTAGGTTGTCCTTGACTTTATACCATGGGGGGGGCTTCATTCATTCATTTGTGTCTTCACCCGGTCATTCTGTCTGCTCACCAGGAGAGAAGTGGTGAAGCCACGGCCACAAATCAACACTTGGACTCTGTTTGACCTCTGGTGAAATGAGCGCTGAGTATCTCCTCCCTCATTGATTATATACTTTGCAATCTGCCCGTGGCTGTCATCTTCTCTCACCTTTTTGACCTTTCCCCATCATTGTCTTTCTTCAGACTATACCAACTTATGTACTGATATTATATTGAGTATTTTACCCATTTTAATTCAGACAACTTGGCAAAAGACAAAAGTTGCAATATTCTGTTGTGCCATGCTTTACACAGCAGCCATTGATAAATCCTATGATTAAATGGTGAGATAAGCTATGTGTGCAAACTTTAGTTTGTTTCCTGATCTTTTGTTCAGATCGAGTGACATTTCCCATGTCCTTGTTGGATATCTGCGTTTACATTTCCCCGTTGTCCGACTGGTTACATGGAAAGATTACAGGAGGCACATCAGAAGTTTAGCTAAAAGACAATTAAGCTCTTGCCTAGGTTGTGTGTACACACACACATATACATGTGTGCACAACTTGACAATGAAGCAACTAGCAGAACATGTGCTGTAGGAGTGTTTGCTTTGTCTGAGAAAGGTAAAAATAGCATGCAGGTGCATGTGAAAGTGGTAAATGAAGCAGAAGAGACACAGAAGAAAATAAGTCAGTCTATTGTTACAGTAAAAATAAACATTTGAAAAACACCAACTTGAAGAATTGGCTGCACTTAATGAATAATAGACTTTTCTCTGCCGGGTCTATCTGAGCTGTGCAAGTGAGCAGTCCAAGGCCAGTGGGAGTGAAAACAGTTCCGCTCAAACACAGCTGGATGCTCTCACAGGCTTACCAAGAGGCCCTGTCTGCCCGTGGAAATAAGAAAGAAAAAACAGCCCTGTTTGTGTCACTGTAAGAAAAAACTGTCTGTCTTCCACAGGGGATGGAGGGTATTCAGCACCTGGAGCAGGAGGGACTGTGTGTATTTGAAGAAGTCACTTTACACCAGGCAAACAACAAGCTCTGTCTGGGGGCTTCACTATGATCATGTCATTTTCATACTATCCTTTACATATGAGTAAGTCTGTAGTCTTTTATGGGGTCCTCAATCTCAATGTTATATAATAAATGATTGGCTGTTGGAAAGAGGGTAGCATTATGTTGTAAAGCCTTTTGAAGCTTCGGCTACATCAATTGACTTAACGGAACTTAAATACAGTATATTCACAGTTAAATCGCACTTTCCTAAAAAGTAATCAGACACGTCGGAGCCTGTTTTGTGCATTCTAGTGGTTGAGATTAAAACATGTATCTCCTCAGTATCAATGCTAAATGTATCTTTTAGCAGTGTTGAAATAAATGTAAACACGACAAGGCATCCTGCTGCAGATTACGATATGTATGTATGATAAGACAGGACAGGGGACGGGGGTAGCGGGGTCAGTGGACAGGCTGCCAAAGCAAACTACCAGGGATGGCAGGCATACCAAGCCCCCCGCTGCAGATCCTCTGCAGACGGACGAGGTCAGTGCCAACCCCTTCAGAAAGAAACAAATGTGAGTGAAAGAGGATATTACTGTTTGTTTTTGGCTGGTTTACAGAGTGATAAGAAACATCATTTCCCTTTCTGCTCACCACTCACTTCAGGTGCAAGAGTGTAACAGATTGAAAATGACAGAGTTCATGACCCATTCACTAAATAATTGCAACACCTGGGGGTACAAAATACTTTTTCAAGGAATAATTAATTTCAAGCTAGACATTGACATTTTAATCTATCGCCTATTTGCCTATTTTGGAATCTATTCAGGTCTGTAAGTGTTTTAGATTGTGAAATGTGAAACTATCATGGCTGAAAAACATTTCTGCACTTGTCATTTCACTTGCCGTCTCCCTCTTCCCTTATCAGCACCATCTACCTGGCTGTCAAGACGGGGCAGACGTTGTGAAGTGCCTGTGGTCTTCTCATGGTACATTGAGATTAAAGTGAGTGGAAGAGAATGGAGCCAGGTGTGTTATTGAAACATGTGGCTGTATGGTTGCAGGTTTGCCTGTCAGCTATGCAACATGTTATTGCTGCGCAGAACAAGCGTGAGTTTGTTGAGGTTGAGAGATGGACAGGGTTAAACTACATCTATAGTATGAAAAATCATTCTTTCTACACCTGCAACACTGATAACAAACTGTATTTCTATCTAAGGAAAGTATGTCTAAAAGCAGAAAAAACGAAATAATGATATATGTTTTTTTCCCTGCTGTCACATTAGGCACGATTATGAAACCTAAACCACACTCTGCTGTAGAAAAAGACGAAAACAATTCAAACGTAAACATCATTAAAAGACATTCCAGCAATACCACAGTCTGACTCAATATCTCCGCTGCTTTCCGACTCCCCTTCAGATTCCCTGCATACCGCAGACCATGGGGCAGATGTTCTGCATTATCACTTCTCTCTGCAGTCTCACCTGCTGTCTATCCCAAGAGCTGATCTGATCATCACAGTTGTTGTGGGTGCAAAGATAATGGCGTATATGTTTCCATCATTTAATGAGCAGATATTCAAGAAGTACAAGGCTTTGCGGTGATCTCATCATTTGAATATAAACATAGTACTTAAGAATCAAGAAATGTTCTCCATGCTTTGCAAAACAACTGCTAGCTAATGTTTAAAAAATGGCCAAACAATGGGATATTTATGTAGAGTCAAATGAAGCAATCACAACAGATGAGGAATGTGTCTCTTTTCACTCAGCAGGTGACGACATTCACTGTGAAGCCAAGAATTGTTTAACTGCATTAAAAGGGTGAGATTAAAAATCATTGCTGCAGAAAAGTCTAATTTAGTTCACAGATAAATGCTAAAATGACAAAGGCAACGTAAACATTGTGTCTTCTGGTTTGCGTAGCATCTCATGCGAAATGATGCACACACCCTAATAATATAATATGGTGTTATCATCTAAATGGGGGTTTTCTCTCAGTTTGGCTTATTCAAAAATGTGGTTGACTTATTTGCAGTCCCAAGTGCTTCCTGAGCGTGATGCTTATATAAATGCAGGTTTAGTACTTTATTTCAAACTCAAATTGAGGGGTTTTCTTAGATTGTCCAGTTATTCAGATTTAGTAAACGGTATTGTCTGCCTGACTTCTTTCAGGTTGAATTACTGATAAAATACTAAACCTTATAACTTCGGACGATGAAATCCAATATGATCGGTGTGTCCTTTCACAGACCCAAGAACTACTGGCAACAGCTAAAAGGTGTGAAAAGGTCAGATCATAAAAAAAGGTTTGGGTAAGTGGATATTCTTGGCCTTTATCCTCAATTCTTGGTATTTCATTGGCTAACATTCATGCTTGCTTTCTAACAACACAGAACCCTGTTGTCCCAAACAACAGCCACATTACAAGTTGTCAAAAAAGTAGTTCTAAGGACATTCCCAGACAATGAATGGTGCTATAGAGTCAAATAAGATGTCAGTCCCAGTGGGGAGATGAAAACACTGACAGATAATGATGTAAATTATACTACTGCACAATGATTTCATCGCCTGTTTTCCCATTACACATGTGATTATAGTGGGGGTAATGAGGGGTGATTCAGCTTTTCATGTGACCGGAGGGTTGCCTGCACGAGGCCGTCACCATCACACAAAAAGAGCAGCTACAAATGAATTCCCTCTAACAACAACCTCACCTGCTGCAACACGCTCTGCCAGCTCTCGCAATCCGCCAGCGAATTCCTTCCGCTCCGAGTGGCGAGGTGGAGGGTGAGGACGGGGGTTTTGTGGGCTCAATGTTGTGATTGTGATGTAGTGTAATTGACAGGTATGTCTGATGCACCAAACACCGCCCACTTCCCTCCTGGGGTCGCACAACAAACATGTTTGTTTCCAGGAACCTGAAAATACATGTATGCCAAGATGACAAGGCTATTCAGAGATGACAGGGTCATTCATTTGGTTGAACACATATTGCATGTTATCGATCCCATCGTTGTGTGAACCAAAGAGGAACAATAGGTAAAAAAGGTTGTATAAGAAAAGTCCACATGTCTTTTTCTGTTGAGTTAACTTAAACACTCTCTTTAAAGAGACTGTATTCAGAGGGCTTACTCAAGTGTGCTTGCAATATGTTGCCTGACAACAAGAGAAGAGGTATTTAGATCAAAGCTGAGCAGTTGTCAGCGTTTTCTTTTGTCTTTGATAGGAATAAGATGCAGGGCTGCAAAGCCTTGAAAGCAGCTGCCCTGAAGCAGAATGCTGCTCCCTAACAGCTTACTCTCAGCTGTTTGTATACTACAAATCATGAATACTGTATTTTTAGATTCGTCTATATATTGTTACTGCTGTTCCATGCAGCCATTGGTTTTCGTTGATTTCAGAATGGTACGCTTCTAATTTCACAGATATGCCATGAAATGCCCCCCCCCAAAAACACCCCAACAAAAAATGCGGAAAGATTTAGAAAGGGGGGTAATCTGACTTCTCTCAGAGATTTGGTATGCAGTTTCACACAAATCTGTGATAACACCAATAGAAAACAATAGAAAATGTATATGAACAGAGCTCAGAACCACCCCTCTATCGGGCCATACCAATTTGAAACATATGAAAAGGATTACAAGTTTTAAAAGTGTGAGCTAGCAAAGTTTTCTTAAATGTTTTTACTCGGAGCACTTTTACACGCAAACTTTTACCTTTGCAGACACACATTCAGACACTGACGGCCGGGCTGCCATACAGTGCCGAACTACTCGTCATTTAATCTATGTGAGAATCTTGCTCTTTCACCCACACTGAAACACAACTTTTTGGGGTTCAGCATCTTGCGCATGGACACAAACGGCTGATATTCTAAATACTGCATGACCTGCTGCTCCAACTTCTAAGCTCCAGCTGCTCCAGTTTTATCTTTATTTTGGTTTGACTATACAACTCAAACATGTTTTAAGTCTGCTAAAATAAAAATAAAACGGAATCATGGTGGCTTGTAAAACAATTACTGTAAGTGATTTATAGTGTATGAGCTAAAACATGCAAAAGCAGTGGTATGATCCTTTAAAAATACAAGATTCCTTTTAGAAAGATGCCAAAGCAGAACAGAACATTTACATGTTAATGACTGAATATAACCTCTATCTTCTGCACAAATTACACAATCTTTCTGTCGGAATATATTGGAGTCTTTCATTCAGAAAGAGGGTCCCTGCTCTCCCCTCTCTATTTGCAACGCCCAGCTTTTAACTCTCTAATCTCCTCGTTCTATTATAGGAGATTTCTCCTCTGAAATGTTTTTATATGAACATTTTCACATATTTGTGCTTTTTATAGATGATAATTGTCTTTCTGTGCTTGATTAAGCCATTGTGTATGTGTGTGTGTGTGCGTGTGCGTGTGTGTGCGTGTGTGTGTGTGATGGATCGTTGGAGCTATGTGCAACTCAAGGCATATGCTCGAACGGGAGCTGCCTGGACGCTGCAATCATGTTGCGCACTATCCGTGCTGAGTGTGCTGACTTTTCGTACAATGTCCCACTGTCTGGCTTCCTGCATAAAGTCAAGTGCTCGGCGCAGTTGTGGCGAAATGTCGCTCCTCTGTTTTCATTTAAACAGCTCCATATCCGTTAGCGCAGCTAGCTAGCACCAGATGCTAACAACAACAATGCACGTAAGGTCTCTCTCTCTCGCTCGCTCGCTCGGGCCACACATACACACACCCTCCCGGTCCTCCCAACAGCCAATCGGTGCCTGCCGGTGAGCGTGGAAGTGTGGTCTGCCACAAGCGGGCGACAGGACCAGGCTGTCAGCATCAGCTTGTAGATGGTATTTTAAACTCGATGCGCTCTGAAACTACGGGGCGGCCGAGGACAAAAAATACACATGCGTTAATCGCGTTAAAATAATTAGTGGCATTCATTTTTTTTTTGCGTTAACGCGTTATTAACGCGTTAACTTGACAGCCCTAATTATAATGTATTCGTTGATTTCAATGTTGTATTGTAATCTAAATCTGCAAAGTAGCTAGTAACTAAGTAACATAATGTGAAAATACTCAAGTGAAGTACCTCAATTTTGTACTTGTTATTTCTTGCACTATTTGTATTGGGTTTATCTGTTTTATGTCCATATATTCATGTTGCATTGTTGGAGGAGCCTTAGACTTAAGTTTTTCATTGCCATATCTACACTGTAGTGTCGTATGTGACAAAAAAGGCTTGAATCTTGAATCTAAATACAGTACTTGAGTAAATGAACTTACTTACATCGCTGGTGTGACCCTAATATAATATCAAGGTCAATCTGATGCATTCGGAGGGAGATGAAAGAATAAAGATGTCGGAATTACACCGTGTGTGTCCACTCCCTCACAGCAGATGGCAGTATTACAGAGGGAAAACACTTTGAAACATCCGTCAACAACAAACAGGACACCTTCAGCACGTTTGTAGCTTGTTTCATAACACCAAACCGCACAACACTTCCCTGATCTATGTTAGCGAGTTATTTATATATAGTGTAACGCCAGTCAGAGAAATGATGTGCATTAAACAGATATTTTTGCGAACATATCGCTTAAAAGTCGGACAAGTGCTCGGTACAGCTTTAACTTCCAGCAGATGTTTTCATGGTGAACAACAAGTAAGAACTTAATATTCATAAAAATAACTTTTATGAAATGCAACTCAATGTCTCCAAACTGACCTTACAGTGAGCCTTTGCACCTTGCAGGTATCACGTGAATCCAGCGCACTTCCCATCATTCATCACAGCAGGTATGTGTGCGACCTCCCTCCCAACCACAGGTTTCCTATGGGCAAGTTTCCCCGCGTGCTGCACTTCTTAATCAAAGATCAGGTGATCACAGAGGAACAGGTGAGCAAGGCATTCATATGTTAAACTACGAAAACACTAGTGTCCATATGTCATAATTATTTAGTTCTGTAATGGTACGATTGATTGATGATGAGAAATAAATCTACCTTTTAAGACAATTTACACTTGATAATAATAGGATTTTAATTTTGTATATATCATTGTGTTAAATTATTTTTGTTTTGGACAGTTGTTAGAAAACGATGTGTAGATATGTGAGACTCAGTGGTTTTACAATGGTTGATCATTAATAAAAAACATTGTAAAACCTGTTGCTACTGCTGGAAACAGTACATTACCCTGTTGATGTAAATGTCCTTCTTCACAGTAGGTGTGGGTCCCTGAAATTGCCTCTAAAGAATTACTCAGCTGTGTGCACACTGAGGAATACTTAAACGACTTCTTTATTGGGAAAATCAATGAGCAGGAACAGAGGAGGACAGGTTTCCCCTGGAGTGAAGGCATAGTGAGGCGCTGTCGATATGAGACAGGTGAGAAGAACATCTGACAAGTCTGGGCGATGTAACATCTCAACGGCCCCTAGAGATCACACCACATGACAACCTCTCTGTGATTGACAGGTGGGACTGTTCTGGCTGCTGAGGTAGCTCTGCAGAGGGGTCTGGCCTGCAGCACAGCAGGAGGAACACATCATGCCTTCCCAAGCTACGGTTCAGGGTATTGTCTCCTCAACGACTTGGCAGTTGCCGCCAAATACCTGATGGGTGTCTCCTCGCACAAAAGGAAGATTCTGATCGTGGATCTAGACGTGCATCAGGTAGATTTACCGTACCTCTACTTTTTATTTTCTCATACTATTATATGCAAAACTTGTCTTTGTATTTGATCAAATCTTTTGAATCCAACAGGGTGACGGCACTGCTTTCATTTTTAAAGAGGAGCCGTGTGTGTTTACATTCTCAGTGCATTGTGGGAAAAACTTCCCCCTCCGTAAACAACAGAGTGACCTAGATATCAGCTTGGATGATGGGATGGAAGACAAGGAGTACCTCTCCACAGGCAAGTGACACATGACATAATAATACATATGATGTGTTCAGATTAACCAAATAGTGTTGCTGTAAAGCAGGGGTGTCCAAAATACGGCCCGGGGGCCAAATGCGGCCCCGGGACATTTTGAATCGGCCCACAAATTAAACTTGAGCTTTTCATGTATTGTACTTATTAAATATATCTGTAAATATATATTACACAGTAGTGTTCACGTGTTAATAAGCCCAATTTACAATAAATTCAGTCAATTCAATTTGAAAATATGTTCTAACAAATCTAAGTCGATAAGAAAAAAGCCCAATAACTTATTTACATAACAAACTTGAAATATACCCTTCCTATTTCCTCTTATGATAATCAATCTGGGACTCCTGTTGTAAGGGATGAGCTGCTAACAAATTAAATGAAACTCTCTGGAGAGCTGGGATGTAGGCTGTTTATTTTTCTTAAAGCAGATTCAAGTATCAAGCATAATTTACCTACTTTTGATTGATTTTGCTAACTTATAACTTAACTTATAAGCGGCAGTATACCTCACCTCTAATATTTTAATGTATGTGGCCCTCGGTGATAAAGGTTTGGACACCCCTGCCTGCTGTAAAGTCACTAAATCTAAATAAAAAATATTGTCCGAATGAAGTCACATGCCGGATGTTTTAAACAGTGGAGACCCACCTCCCTTTGCTGCTGGAGACCTTCCGCCCGGACCTGGTTCTGTATGACGCCGGTGTCGACCCTCACTGGGAGGATGAGCTCGGGCGGCTGCGTCTCACTGACCAAGGTGAGTGAGGATTTGACATCTGAGGATTTCCACCAATACTTAATTTCTGCATGTTTTTTGATTGACTGTGTGTATCTATCAGGGCTGTATCAGAGAGATCTGTACGTGATGAAGACTGTGGTGAGCAGAGGTGTTCCCGTCGCTGCCGTTATCGGAGGAGGATACTCGAGAGACAACGACAAACTGGCCCTCAGACACTCCATCCTCCACAGAGCAGCAACTCAGGTACACAACACATAGATGCTATACCAGAAATTAACCTTCTCAATACAGAATTGTTTACCTAACTTTGTACACTTTGTCATGACAGCTTCATTGAACATGATATTGTATTAATGTTCTTCATATTTCAGGTTTGGAGGGACTGTGGAATGTAAAACCTTCATGCCCCGAATCCAGAAGACCCACAGAGCCTCACCAGTAGTGCAGTGCTTCTCAAAGTGTGGTCCGCGGACCACTGGTGGTCCGTGAGCGCCCCCTAGTGGTCTGTGAGTATATTGGTAACATTTCACATTTTAAATAAATGTAAGTTTTCCGCACTCTTGTGGGAATATCTCCGTAATGGAGCGAGCTTAAGTTTCAATTGATTGCATGATATAGCCCAGCGCAACACCTTCATCACACATGTTGCCACTTGTTTGTACCATTTCCAGGCGATTTGTAATCTGTTCTAGAAAAACGATGTGATTTTGGATATTTGTGGAGTTAGGTGGTCCGCAAGTGTTTTTTTTATTGGTTAAGTGGTCCTTGGTATGAAAAAGTTTGAGAAACACTGTTTTAAAGCCAATGAAAATATCCTTATTTTGAAAAAGCATATATGAAATGTAACTAATCATCTAAATCTGCAGCTAGTAGCTACTAAATGCGTAACATAAATGTACTGGAGTGATATAATGTCTATATTTTTGAAATAATAAATCTGGTGTTCTCTATGTTAATATGTTATCCAAGTAAACACATTTCATGTTTATAAAAAAAGTATTCTTTTGGAGACTATGTTTTCCACTATCTGCTCAGGGCTCTGCTAATGATATTTGATTGGGGGAGTGGCTGGTGATGCTCATGCAAGTGATTACCTAGAAGTGATTATAGAAAGTGGTTTGACTTGCTGTTCACCTCATCAGGATACAGTCTCATTACTTCTATAGAAGCACTTCACGGTGTCACACTATGTGCTATTGAATTATGTGGTTGTCACCGATTAAATATGTACCAAATATGTATGCTTTGGTAAAAAAAGTAAATGCAACACAACTAAACTCATGAACAAAAATATTTAATAAAGTAAAACTCAAAAGTATTTACATCAGGTAAGATAAGACATCAAGGTACCAGTGTCAATTCAGAACATACACAGTTGGTCCACACATACTGTACTGTTACGGACACGCACAGTCCTTGGCATAAATAGGTACATTAGTACGTTTTAAATTTCACCTATTTTTATGTCATTCACTGACATCAAGCAGTGAGATATTTGTGGTACAGTGCAATGTTAATTCACAGTATATCAGGCAGTTGATTTTCTAAAAGATACCAGTGGTATAGTTCAGCTTGTTACTTCCACACAAGACAGTAAATAACTATTTAAAACATCAAACACACACACACACACACACTGGCAACGCATTCTTTGAATCAAAACGCAACAGGCAAATGCACAAATGTTTTGGAAGATATTCTTCAGGCTCTTCTTATGATAGTGTTATGAAAGATTACACAAGAGCAGTTTACACAGTTCTATCAAGAAGTATAATTGCTGCAAGTTTAGCTCATTGTTAGATTTAAGGAATGTCTAATTATAAAATAAAAAGACAAAGAAATACAAACTTTCCAGTGTAATCAATTTAAAACATTTAAGAGTATGGTGGAAGAGTATGTATATTCTCACAAAATCTTAGTTGGCTAATATAAAATTCTAAAGAGAGAAACAGTGCATTTCTTAACATATCTCTTGCAGAAATAATAATACATACAAATAAAAGAGTTAAAATCACTAGCAGTAGCAGCACTGGAGCTCACTGTGGTTTGATAATAAAAATATAATTATAATTTCTAAAAGAATGCTGGTTTCATATAATACATTTAAAAAATTGGAAAAGTTTACAATAATAGGCATTAAAAAGTAAAATACTTTACTGCTGCAAAACTATTAGTGAGGCCATGTAAACTTTTTCAATGCTAGATATGATTGGTTCTAGGACAACGGGAAACTAATAACCTAATAATCACAATTTCCAAACAGTTAAGTAAAGCTCTGCCGTAGTGGAGTAGTTTAGTGTTTGTTGTACCTTCAACAATGTCTACATTTCACATGAGTGTAATACACATCATGTGTGAGAGTGCTGAAACTTGAGGCAGTTATGCAACAATAAAATCAAGTTAAAATTATATTTTACATATCTGAACTTTCTCTGCCACCACACACCAGTTGGCATGATCAAAGTAGGTGTGTTTGACAAGAAGCTCATCAACATGCTTCTCTATCAGCTCGGCCAGTTCTCCCTCCCTGAAGACGTGATAGTACCTCAGGCAGGAGCCCTCCACCTGCCTCTCGCTCCCCTGAGAACTCTTTGTGCTTTCATGCTGCTCTTTCCCCTGCAGCCCTCCTTCACTTTCATCTGAAGACTGCTTCAGGTGCTCCTTCTGGAAAGGAACCAGATCTGGCAGGGCCAGAGAGCCGCACTCCTGGGCCAAAGACACTGAGACACTCTGGTTTTCTGGGCCGTTGTTGTTGCCTCCAGGAGCATTTTGTCCCTTGTGCAGGTTTGTGACAGAGTCAAAGACGTCCTCCTCCGATCCGATCACAGACGTTGGGGAAAAGAAGCTCGAGACCTGTTTGATGAGGCCTCGTCCTCTCCCCCAATGGCTGCTCTTGTTCCGCTCGTTCTCACCTGTGGGCGAGGATAACGTGCTCAGGTCTCTGGAGGATGACCGTGAGATGGATAAGCTCCCAAAGTCGAACACAGAATCCAGAGACCTGGAGAAGAACCACAGTCTCTGTGTGCTCTGCTGTGGCGTGGTGCAGTGTGGCGTGGTCAGCTCTTCTTCGTCTGCTACAGAAGATGTGCTTCTAACCTTCCTGTGCTTGTCGGCGTTGCCTATGGCTTCGCTCACACTCTGAGCTGTGGCCCTCTTTCTGGGTTTGGCGGGCTCCCTGTCCGTGGGCGATTGAGGGTTGGGGTTCCAAGGAACAAAGATGTCTTGTTTCTCGAATTTACGACGTTTCTGCTCCATGGCCCACACATAGATCATGATGCGTCCGCCCACTCGCAGGGTGCGAGCCATCTCCTTTATTGCTCGAATTCGACGCTCTTTGGTGGACAAGTGATGGATAACTGTGACAAAACATGAATTCATCAGAATGAAGTAGGATAATGAGGATGCATTTAATTAATGATGTTTAGTCACATTCAGCTCTTGCAGGCAACAAAAAACATTCTGTACACTGTGTTTAGCACACAACTAATAAATAGTGTGGGTGTCTTATTACACGCTTTTGTTGGAGGACACACATTAATTATTTCAGACTGTTTTCTAAGCAACAAAAGCTTGTGGTAAACGGATGTTTAGCATTATTTCTGACTTCATTTAATTGTAGGCAAATAATGGCTTCAGCAGTAAGGGTTAATGCAAAATATGAAGGGGTGGTTTGTTATTGAGTGGGAGGAATCACAAAAGCTCCATGTGTTTATGCTTTACCTGCAATAGAGAGCACAGCGTCGAAGCAGCCGTCTCTGTAAGGCAGATGCAGCCCGTCGCACATCTGGACCTCGTGACCTTGGCTCCAGGCAAAGTCCACCAGGGGGCGACAGACATCGCATCCCATCTTGAACACCTCCTTGTTGATGTGGAGATACTTGCCATTGCCACAGCCTACCAAGGACAAGACAGTGAGCTACAACACTAGCGGCTGATCAGAAGATTATCAGTGGTAGAATAACATAAAAATGCTCCTTCCCTCTCCTTAGGAAAGCCAGTTTTATAGTTACTTAATTTGTTTAAAAGGTCCCCTATTCTACTCTTTTCATCACTATATTATAGTTCTGTTATATACAAAACATGTCTCTGAAGTGTTTGCCTCGAAATACCAAACAGATCATGCTTTGTAGCATCCCATAAACCCCTCTGTTTCAGCCCTGTTTCAAAAGTGCTGATTCTGTGTTACTTTAGATGAAAATAAGGAGCCCCTCTGAGAGATATTTGGTCAAAACAAATACACAATGGTGCTCTAGGAGGAGATTCGGGTGGTAAGGTGGGCGGGTGTTACCTTGGTTGGTTATTGGCTAATGGTTACACAAGCCAAAAACAAATTATGCCATCAAAACGTGGCCAAAATCTGATCAGCTCATTTTCAGACAGGTTTTTACATAAATGGATCAGGACAAAAAGAGTGGGAATCTTTTTTCCTAAAAACTTTCAGAATCCTTTTACACAGAGGGGACACATATTTATATATAACAGACATGAAAAGTAGATTTAGCATAATAGTCGACCTTTAAAATAAGCAACGACAAGGTATTATTGATCAAGTATTGTGGGATTGCTAAGAAATACATCTCGGCTTGAGATGACACCCACCAATGTCAGCCACGATGCTGCCCGGCTGCAGATCCAGCAGGAACTGTTGCACCTTTGGCCAGGCTTTGTAGCGGCTGTCGTTGAAATATGGAGCAATCTTGTCATAGACGCTGTGCACATGGTCTCTCTCGAGCTGACTGGCAGCCTCCTCCATCATGTTCATCCAGGCAGCCTCATGCAGACGCCTCACAGTATCATGTCTGCAGGGATAAACACATCTCTAAAATAAGCATTCTCTTTCAGTAGGAAAATAAAAAATAGCAACGTCAACTCCCCAAAGGGAACGGCACATACTGTAGGAGTCCCACTCTACTTTTCAAAAGGTACCAGTGAGGATGCTGTTCCCATCCCACAGAGCACTCAATTTCCACAGCAGCTCTGTCAAATTGTTTTAACAATAACCTAGAAGCAAAAGGTCAACACATAAATCCTATTTTTTGTAAACAAGATGCAAATCCAACAACAGTAATGTCATTGTGAAAGTTTATTTTCTTATTCATGGTTCTCATTTGCCACGTTTTATACTGTTAGTTTTAGTCAGTGTCACAAGCATCCGCTCACATTCTAGGAATCCCTTTCATCTAAGCTGAGCCTCATTGATTCTGAGTAGGACTATCAATCCTCCCTGGAAACCAAGATATCTGTGTGGATGGATTTGGTCTGATTAGATCATCTAAGGTTAATAAAGCACAGCATAACCAAATATCACTTTACTTAAGTTGAGGTTGTAACGTTCATTGTAAAATGGAAAAATATGTTTTGTTTTCTTTGATACATAATTTTGGCTAATTCATAATCATTTTTTTTCAAATTGAGAATTACTGAGAATAAACATTCAGACTTTTATGACGTTCATATTGTAGGTGACTCATATCATTTCAGAACTGATTGCAAATGTGGGCATGAAGTTATTGTGATGTTTGTGGCACGTCTGTTTTTCACAGCTCCCACTGCAGCCCTCTCAGTTTATTAGGATGCGGCCCACAGCTCCTGCAGTGCTGCTGCGGCTCCCCAAAGCACTTTGTGTACAAAGAGTTTTCCTATGTTATTGTCCAAAGGATAACAGTGTTTCATACAAAAGACATCTCAGATGCAAAGTTCCACTTGACCTGAATGGTTATGTTTCATAATGTATTATCAGGACGTTTCATTGCTTACTGCATCATCATTTCATGCAAAGCAAACCCACACCAAAACACAATTTACATAAAACATTGCCAACAAGAGATTTTAAAAACAGATTTGGACAAATGCACATGGTGGCAAAGTCGGATAATTAAATCAAACTGAAATAATCTTAATAAGATTGCCATGCTTTGCAGCATGGCATCAGTTGGTTTGAATAGGCCTGCAAAAA